CCCCCCGAGGATGTGCCCCGCTGGGACCCCAACAACCCCCTGTGCCCTGGGGCCACCCGGGCCAACGGCGAGGTACCACCGAAGACCCAAGCGTCCGGGCTCTTCCCCCACCGTCCTGTTTCCTCTGATCCCGTCTTTCGCCCCGGCAGGTGAACCCCCAGTACGAGGGCACCTTCGTCTTCCCAAATGACTTCCCTGCGCTGCAGCCTGATGCTCCTGAGCCTGGTAACTGCTGAGGGGAGAGCAGGCTGCCAGGGACCCACAGGCTCAGGTCCTGGGGGCTGCAGGGTGGCCTGGAGAGGCATGGGTGCTCCTCCAGCACCCTCTCCCTCCTCCCTTTCTGTACTTCCTCAGGTGACAGCGGTCACCCCTTGTTTCGAGCTGCAGCAGCCCGGGGTGTGTGGTGAGTACCTCCATGGCTCTGGGGGGTCCAGGCTGTGATGTCAGCCAGAACCTGTGGGATGGAGCTGGACTGAGCCTGCTCCTGTCCTTGCAGTCTGTTCTGTCCACACGTGCTCTATTTTGGGGTCATTTTGGAGGTCTTAATCCTGTTCTACTGCACCCAGCAGGGCCGTGGGGGTCCCTGGAGATGCCCCGCAGTCCCAGCCACATGTGTCTCCTCCACAGCAAGGTGATGTGCTTCCACCCCTGGTCGGACCTGACGCTGCCCCTGATGTCCCTGGCAGAGATCCGGGCTGTCATTGACGCATGGGCAGAGCTGGCAGCTGAGCTGGGTGCTTCCTACCCGTGGGTGCAGGTCCGAGGCTTGTGTGGGCTGCCCATCTCTCCCTGCTCCAGGGGGCTCAGGTGGAGGGGTGGGGGTAAGGGGTTGGTGCTCTTGCAGCACCTGAGGTTGGGACCATCCCAGTTGCATGTGCGTCCCCTGTCCCTACTTCATGCCCCCCTGAGCTTTTCCAGGTGGGTGCGAGGCTCCAGGATCTCCTGTGGGGTGCTTTCCTGGTGTGCTGGGGACATCACGGCAGCCCGCAGCAGGGACCTTGGGTCTGGGACCTACTGGCTGCACCTCTTCCTCTGCAGATTTTTGAGAACAAGGGTGCGATGATGGGCTGCTCCAACCCCCATCCCCACTGCCAGGTAAGGCTGTCCCACCCGTGACCTGGCTTAATCGCGAGCCCCTGTGGGCGACCCTACAACAAACCCAGGGGGAAGACGTGAACAGGAATCTCCCTGCCCTGGCTCCAAAGCATTTTGCAGTGAGGATACCCCCATGCCTGTCCTGTCACCTGGGGACTGTCCCCTTGTGGCTGCTGCATGTTGGACTCTCCACCTGGTGGCAGCACGGACCTGCAGATGGGCAGCGTGGCTGGGGCACCCCTTGCAAACGCGGGGTACAGGTAACCCAGCCTATATCCCGACGTCGCTCCCAGGTGTGGGCCAGCAGCTTCCTCCCGAATGAGGCGTGCCTGGAGGACCGGACCCAGCGGCAGTACCTGGGCCAGCACGGTGTGCCCATGCTGCTGGAGTATGCCGAGCAGGAGGCTCACCGAAAGGTGAGGACGTGGCCGTTGTCCATATCACCTCCCCGGGAGCTGGATATATGCCGGGGCAGGCCCCCCC